TCCATGTTTAGTATGGGATTTATGACAATCACAAGTCCATGTTATATATGGGCGTTATGACAATCACAAGTCTATGTTGTATATGGGCTTTATGACAATCACAAGTCCATGTTATATATGGGCGTTATGACAATCACAAGTCCATGTTTAGTATGGGAGTGATGACAATCACAAGTCCATGTTATATATGGGCGTTATGACAATCACAAGTCCATGTTTAGTATGAGAGATACAACAATCACAAGTCCATGTTTAGTATGGGCGTTATGACAATCACAAGTCCATGTTATATATGGGCGTTATGACAATCACAAGTCCATGTTTAGTATGAGAGATACAATAATCACAAGTCCATGTTTAGTATGGGCATTATGACAATCACAAGTCCATGTTTAGTATGGGATTTATGACAATCACAAGTCCATGTTATATATGGGCGTTATGACAATCACAAGTCCATGTTTAGTATGGGCGTTATGACAATCACAAGTCCATGTTTAGTATGGGAGTAATGACAATCACAAGTCCATGTTTAGTATGGGAGTTATGACAATCACAAGTCCATGTAATATATGGGCGTTATGACAATCACAAGTCCATGTTTAGTATGGGAGTTATGACAATCACAAGTCCATGTTATATATGGGCGTTATGACAATCACAAGTCCATGTTATATATGGGCGTTATGACAATCACAAGTCCATGTTTAGTATGGGCGTTATGACAATCACAAGTCCATGTTATATATGGGCGTTATGACAATCACAAGTCCATGTTTAGTATGAGAGATACAACAATCACAAGTCCATGTTTAGTATGAGAGATACAACAATCACAAGTCCATGTTATATATGGGCGTTATGACAATCACAAGTCCATGTTTAGTATGGGAGTTATGACAATCACAAGTCCATGTTTAGTATGGGCGTTATGACAATCACAAGTCCATGTTTAGTATGGAGTTAGGCAAACAATGCATGACTCACCTACTTCTACACTGACTTATGACAGTCATAACACCTGTTTGTGCACCAGTGCCTTGGCACATCTCCTTTTAATAGCTGAAAATTATTCAGGTATTCTAAGTCCAACCCAAATTAATTAGTTATCTAAATCAGATAAAAAGCCTAATCAACAGATATAATTTAAATTTAGGCAATACAAGTTCGGTATTTCAAGCATGCTCTTCCCTCTTACAGCTGATTATAATAATTACACTAAACTTCCTACCTGGGTGTTATCAACACAGTAATCAAATTCTCAATAAATAAATTACTCCCGAACATACCATCATCAACAACCACATCCTGTGTTAGATAACTGATTCACTTTCAAACATGTGGGCAAGCATGCATACAGATTCATAAAAATATTTTTTACAGCCATAACAAATACTTCCCATCACTGACTTTCCAATCACCATCTTTCCCAAATGATTTTCCTTCTGAAAACCAAAATATGGAACAGAAAACAAACAATGGAGGCAACACAGAGAGGTGAAATTACCCAGGCAATATACAATATTTATCCTGAACCCATAACCATTAACCAATCTCCAGGCCTCCCAGTCCAACGCTAACGGTTATTTTCTCCTCTTAAAACATACGTACCACCTACGGATTTATCATTTTATCGTCTTCTTCACCTCTGTGTCCTAGTGGTTGAGTTGAACAGACCAAATGTCTGTGGTAAAAAAACTTGGCATCTTGTCAAATGGATTTTTGGGGTAAATCTTTTAACTGGTGGAAAAAGCCTGTCAGAGGACAACTGTTATAACACATTGATCTTTCATTTGTTTAATTCATACCTGTGTCATTCCCTTGTGAAAAACAATATTTATCTCCTCAGATCGGATACGCCTGAAGTGAAAACATTGATATCACTGGCTTAATCTATACTTGACATGGAATACGTTTTCTTATATGGAGAGACAATTTATACCTGTGTTATTCCCTTGTAGTGATGGAATAACAATATTTATCTCTTCAGATCGGACACCCCTGAAGCGTATAACATTGATATCACTGGCTTAATCGATACTTGACATGGAATACGTTTTCTTATATGGAGAGACAATTTATACCTGTGTTATTCCCTTGTAGTGATGGAATAACAATATTTATCTCTTCAGATTGGACACCCCTGAAGCGTATAACATCGATATCACTGGCTTAATCTATAGTTCACATAAAGTCATTTCTCTGCAAACTTAAATCAAATGATGTGTATCAATGTAAGACTAAACGGTTACCATTTATTATGTTCTTGAGTTGAAACACTATATCTGAAAATATCAACTTGATTTCTTCCACTCAAGTGAAATAACACTATTTGCTGGAACTACTCTCCGGCATCCTGATTGACACAATGGTTTTCAGACAATGACATGTAAGATCAGTGACAACATACATAATAAATTGAACATCTGATTTCCTTGGCAAAAAACAAGTTTAGTGCATCTCATGACTTGAAATAGGTGACATATTCATGCATGGCTAAGGAATTCATGAAAATATCAATTTTGTACAGTCGCTAGAAGAGATATACATATGTAAGCCAAATATCCACTACATATTTAATAGAGTCAGATGCAGTTGCACATATCACTATATACAACATTACATTGGTGTCGACAGTGGAGCATAGGTGGTGGAGCATAGCTTCTTCTTTTTATTAATACACTTAGCATGTGCAGCATGGCCCCTTCTTAACATGCTTAGGTGGTGGAGCATAGCCCCTTCTCATTAATACGCTTAGGATGTGGGCATGGCCCCTTCTTAACATGCTTAGGTGGTGGAGCATAGCCCCTTCTCATTAATACGCTTAGGATGTGGGCATGGCCCCTTCTTAACGTGCTTAGGTGGTTGAGCATAGCCCCTTCTCATTAATATGCTTAAGATGTGGAGCATGGTCCCTTCTTAACGTGCATAGCAAGGTGGTGGAGCATAGCTTCTCATTAATGTGCTTAGGTGGTGGTGCAAAGCCCCTTCTTAATGTGCTTAGGATGTGGAGCATAGCTTTTCATTAATGTGCTTAAGTGGTGGTGCAAAGCCCCTTCTCAATGTGCTAAGGATGTGGAGCATAGCTTCTCATTAATGTGCTTAAGTGGTGGTGCAAAGCCCCTTCTCAATGTGCTTAGGATGTGGAGCATAGCTTCTCATTAATGTGCTTAAGTGGTGGTGCAAAGCCCCTTCTCAGTGCTAATGCTGAAGACCAATAATCCTTGAACACATATTTAAAAAAATAATTTGAATGCCTACTTAAAAGATGACTAGCAATAATTATTCTTCAACATCTGTAACAAAATTCAGATATCATTATCTACCCAATTTACTTCATTGAGGCCCGTGAAGATCCGGGGTAGAATAGGTCTTCAGCAACCCATTCTTGCACTCCAAAAGGCAACTATGCTTGTCCCAAGAGACGACTAACAGGATCGAGTGGTCAGACTTGACGACTTGGTTGATGCAAGTCATCGATTCGAATTGCGTGGATTGATGCTCATGATATTAATCACTGGATTGTCTGGTCCAGACTCGATTATTTACAGACCGCCGTCATAAAGGTGGAATATTGCTGAGTGCGGTGTTAAACAACAAACCAACCAACCAACCAACATTGTTTGACATCACACTATTTACAATGAGAAATGTCCTTGTTGCCCAGTACATGCCCCATAACACAGGGCAGACATCTGTCTCAGGAGGAACTGCCTTACAGTAACAGGTCCAACTGTTCCCCTGGCAGTCAACACTTCAGGGAACATGCTTAACCATAGGTACATAGACTTACAGCTGCACCCACTCGAACTGAGGCCTCAAAACAAAATCCTGTTTCCGGGTGACACTCCCATAACAAAACACACCTTTGTTTGTTTGTTTAACGCCACACTCAGCAATATTTCAGCTATGTGACAGCGGTCTGTAAATAAGTGATCTGGACCAGACACTCCAGTGCTTGACATCATGAGTATCGATCTACGCAATTGTGATACAATAAACAGGGTTTCACAGTATTTTCAAATATCTATTTTTTATGCAAACAGCAATATTCCTGCTATATGATGTCAGTCTGTAAATAATCAAGACTGGACCAGACAATCCAGTGCTTGACACTATGAGCATCGATCTACACAATTGGGATACGATGACATGTATCAACCAAGTCAGCGAGCCTGACCACCCGATCCCATTAGTCGCCTCTTTCGGCAAGCATGGGATGCTGAAGATTAGTTCTAACCCAGATCTTCACAGGTTAAACACAGCCTTGAAATCACATTTCAGTGGACACTGCAAAACAAACATCCTCAACTCATTCACACACAAAACTCAAATGTCTCAAATATGTTTTCGGGACATAAATAACACATGAAGACAGCGATGTGTTCCAAAATATTGTGACACATTCATCACTTATTATTGCAGAAAGGGCTCCTTTAAGCTCACTAACAAGACGTAGGGGATCTTTTCCCCACTTCTACGAACATGAAGCACAGCTGAATTACTTCACACGATGAGTTTTGTTTTGTATGAAATCCCTGAAGAGAACACCATCTGTTTCTTCAGAAGAAGAAACAGATAATGTTTTTCAACTCTTAAACCCACACTGAAAAAGATCACAAAGGATTCTCTTAAGTTTCAAGTATTTCGGATGACTCTTAAAAATCGATCATAGTCTTGAAAACAAATAATTATACTAACATCAATATTGTGTGTGTTGTTTAACCCCACACTCAGCAATATTCCAGCTATATGATGGCAGAGTGTAAATGAATCTGAACCAGACAATCCAGTGATTGGTATTATCAACTACATCATGACATGCAAATAAGCCAAATCACCAAAGACAACTTCCAGATCCATTTAGTCAGCGCTTATGACAAGCATAGACTGCTGGAAAACTATTCCTAACAAGAACCCCCCACCGAGTTCCCATGCAACTTTGGTGTTATCATAATTAATCTTTATCTTACACAATCTTATAAACAAGTCACACTTACATCCATGTTGGTTGTATTTTTCTGCTTCATGCTAAATCCTTCCTTTCATTTCCAGCCACCATGTCATATAATCCTTCAAATCGTCACTAATCCTGAATCAGTTGGATAATCCTTTCATGTGATAATCCCTTGTATCCCTCATGAAATCAGCCAAACTGAAGACGGGCGATAACTCACGTAATCCATAGTTCAAACTGATTTATTCCACAGAGGTGCTTTAAATTCCAATATTGATTGATTAGTAACCTCCTGTGTCTCTGTGTCTCCACAGTTGAATTTCACCACATATTTACAACCACAAAATAATCCTTCACTTTTTTCAATCTAACACCTGCATTAAGCATCTTTGAATGCACAATGGAATTCCCAAATAATAAACCTGATCACCATTAAATAATTCTTTCATTCTTTAATTTCAGCTGACGTCTGCTCCAAGCTGCAGATTTCCCATAAGTCATCAATTATCAAATCTGGCGTCTGCTATCATCTAAGGTCTATAATACTACCTACACAAATCAAACCCGTAGTTATGAAACTGACGTCTGCTAAGCTCCATTTCCTTCTCGACATTCTTCCATTTTTTAGCCGTGAAACGTAAACTCAAAACAGTGTTCCTCTTCACCGCAGGTTGACTCATCCGCTTCAAATATTCCCCAAATTTTAACTGACATCTGCTCCGACACGTACAAATCTTCCCTTATCCTTCCTCTTCAACTCTCAGCTCAAGAGCAGACGCAGCACTATCGTCCAAGCAGGAGATATGGAAGTGAAGTATAGGCGACGGCAATACACCTCATTGCATTATTTCATTCACATTGAATAAACACACATCCACTCCTCACACGCAAAGCTGATTCGGTCTTCCGGCCTGACCCATTTCAGCACCAAGGGGTGTATGTTGTTTATATGTCAAAAGTGGTGTTCAGGGAATATAGAGTCTCATCCACCATTGAAAGGTTAAAAAAATCATGAAGAATTGGTCTGTATTTTTTAGGGACTATTGAACTGGGGACGTCAGCTCTATGGTCACAGACTGTGAGATATTTACTCAGCACTTCTCAGGACAAAGCAAACAGAAGCCACTTGGCACTGCAGATTTCTTCTCACCAAACAAAAATAGCATCAGATATATTGAGAAAAACAATTCTAACACTAACAGGAATCTTATTTTGGTGGTACGATGAAATTCTAGACATTTGTCCTTATCTTTTATGTGTTCAAGTTTTGGTTATCATTATTGTTTTGTATTTAAAATCCATCATGTTAGAAAATGAAAATTATTTTGAATTATTTTTTTAAAAAGAACTTTCATTAAATCTCTTAATTGGAACATATGCCATGATATCCAAATAGTCATCTGATCTTTCAAATTATATATGCTTGAAATACTGCTAATGAGATTAATCTTTTTATTTCGCTTAAATTACCGCAATAATTATGCACTGATATTCGATATTCCCCTAAAAATAATTTTATGAACATTCATAGAAGCCCAAATTTGTGTTCTGATTATGTCTTGAGAAACAGATGCATAATAATCAAAATGAATATTGCAGAAATCTAGGACCTGTCCACGTCCACAAACATTACACAACTGGTAATATTCATAAACAGAGATTTCAGAGATCCTCAACTGTCAACTTCGAATTAATATATCACCTCTTAAACAATACACAACAGGCAATTTTGAGAAGTAGAGATTTCCAAGATCCAGAAATTGTCAACAACAAGCTGACAAACCAGTGTATCATCCAGTGCAATATTGGTGATAACGCCCCACCAGGCAGTGTGCAGGACAAGCCAGAAACAGCGGAATCTAATTTGCAGCATCCCTTGTCGGGTTTGAAAGAGGTAACAAGTGGTTACCAGATCTTCAAATAATTAACCTATCGCATTCCATTGTCATTTTCGCACATAACACAGCAGCACAATTAATTTGTCCAATCAAATGGAGGCTCGAATCACTCCCAACTCCACAGGGGTTCTTGAAAAGGAGGCGAAGCGATCATTTCAGTGAGTCATTCCCTAGAAGGCGTAATTTGTGATCAGAGGGAAGACGATTTGCATTAATTGCCGTAAAGTGAACGCCACTCTGGAGCTTCCTGGTAATGATCGAGACTTGAGAATGTCCCAGGCCTGGAAGCCTAGCTGTAAGTGCTGACAAGATAATGGGTGCCTTTAGATCGTATCTTAAACCTGCCTGTATGTCACAGCCTGTCAGTGTTAAAGTCATCAATCATATATCGGCCATAGCAGTTACAGCATCAGGGTTTTATTCATCAACTGTATATTGGGTATATCATTCATAGGACAGGGTTATAATGATCCACTGTATATTGGGTATATCATTCATAGGATCAGGATTATAAGGCTTAACTGTATATTGGGTATATCATTTATAGGACAGGGTTATAATACTTAACTGTATATTGGGTATATCATTTATAGGACAGGGTTATAAGGATTAACTGTATATTGGGTATACCATTCATAGGACAGGGTTATAATGATCAACTGCATATTAAGTATATCATTTAAAGTATTGGTATACCAGGAATATCAATTACAGTTTTAGGGTTATATTAATTAACTGTATGGTGGGTATATCATTTATAGGATCAGGCGTATATCTATTAACTGTATATTCAGTTTATCATTTAGAGTACTTGTATATCATGTATATCAATTAGAGTATGACAGTTATATTACTTAACTGTATATTGGGTATATCATTTATAGGACAGGGTTATAATGTTTAACTGTATATTAGGTATATCATTTAAAGTATTTGTATATCAGGTATATCAATTAGAGTATGATGGTTATAATGAGTAACTGTATATTGAGTATATCATTTAAAGTACTTGTATAACAGGTATATTATTTTGAGTATCAAGCTTATATCCATTAACTGTATATTCTGTATGCAGGTTATATCACTGAGGCTGTGAGGGTACCTATCATGATGTATATTCTGTATACAGGTTATATCACTCAGGCTGTGAGGGTACATATCATGATGTATATTCTGTATACAGGTTATATCACTGAGGCTGTGAGGGTACATATCATGATGTATATTCTGTATGCAGGTTATATCACTGAGGCTGTGAGGGTACATATCATGATGTATATTCTGTATACAGGTTATATCACTCAGGCTGTGAGGGTACATATCATGATGTATATTCTGTATGCAGGTTATATCACTGAGGCTGTGAGGGTACATATCATAATGTATATTCTGTATACAGGTTATATCACTGAGGCTGTGAGGGTACATATCATGATGTATATTCTGTATACAGGTTATATCACTGAGGCTGTAAGGGTATCTATCATGATGTATATTCTGTATACAGGTTATATCACTCAGGCTGTGAGGGTACATATCATGATGTATATTCTGTATGCAGGTTATATCACTGAGGCTGTGAGGGTACATATCATAATGTATATTCTGTATACAGGTTATATCACTCAGGCTGTGGGGGTACATATCATAATGTATATTCTGTATACAGGTTATATCACTGAGGCTGTGAGGGTACCTATCATGATGTATATTCTGTATACAGGTTATATCACTGAGGCTGTGAGGGTACCTATCATGATGTATATTCTGTATACAGGTTATATCACTGAGGCTGTGAGGGTACCGCTATCATGATGTATATTCTGTATACAGGTTATATCACTGAGGCTGTGAGGGTACATATCATGATGTATATTCTGTATACAGGTTATATCACTCAGGCTGTGAGGGTACCTATCATGATGTATATTCTGTATACAGGTTATATCACTGAGGCTGTGAGGGTACCTATCATTATGTATTTTCCCCGTCTTGTAACAGTTTCCACCAAGCCCCAAGCGTGTATATGTACCATAAAAATGATCTTATCTTGTCTTAAGCTTAACATCAAAACTTGAGTCAACCAATTTGTAAACATTTATGGCACTTCAAAGACACACAAAAGTCTTTCTCAAAAAAGATTCCTCTTTAACAAATCTACAACAAGCTCTGAATATTTCAACAACCCTTTTGGTGGGGGCTCGATCCACGGCTGCTGGATACATTACCTCTATTTGCAGACCACATCCAACAGACTATCAAGTTTCAAAACAGATATTCTCCAGCTGGTCAAGGCACAGCACTGGCGGGAGGGTTAGTTGAAGCCCACATCAAACATGGGAAATAAAATAGTTTTAGTCTTCTATCAGGACATATATAGTGTTCATGAGACCCTGGGCTTCCTCAGACTGCAATAATGGTCTCCTGTGGGAGACATAAGCTGCTCTAGTAGTGAGTGCATTGCTGGCGAAGACCCCAGGGCCAGCCGAAGATACTGCCTTTTCCCACACTATGTTGTTTGTTTGTTGCTTGTTGTTTGTAGTTTAACAGCCCACTCAGCACTATTCAAGCTGTATGACAGCGGTCTGTAAGTAATTGAGTCTAGATCAGGCAATCCAGTGATTGACATCATGAGCATCAATCTACACAAATGGGATACAACGACATGCATCAACCAAGTCAGCGAGCCTGACAACCTGATCCCGTTAGTCGCTTATTATGACAAGCACGCCGAACTACAGTTAAGCAGCGTATTTGCGTAAAATACTCCGCCAAAATATTCAACACCCAATTACTTTCAATTAACTTGCGTCCAGAAACATGCATTAAATGAAAAAACTCAAACGTATAAAAACAGCTCGCGTAAAAACCCAATGAATCTTTTTCAGCATGCATACAAAGGAGCTGATCTTCGAAACAAAATTACGAGCTAATTTACTTTCCAAGTCAAGCCTGTATATTAGAACAGTTATATACATCTAAAACATTATTTCATATTCTTTAAATCTTTAAATGTTCACTAATTTGTTGAAAAACCCAATAGAGTGATGAATAGATGTGTGAAAAAATTTTGGTTACCCAATGAAAACGTAACAACCCAATTAAAATAGAAACCATAGAGTAAAAACTCAATTGCTCAAAAAGTTATCTGGAGCTCTGAAGCACAGTCGCCTTTTACGGCAAGAATGGGTTGCTGAAGACCTATTCTAACCTCTTTGAAATGTAGTGTGTCAGCATAATGGGGGAGGAAAACAACTTTGGTGAAACCCACAAGCACAGGTACTCATATGGTGCTGACAAACCTAGAAACAAAATAAGGGTGAATATGGGACTCGAACACACAATGAACAGTTTCTGGCCCAAGGGACGTAACTCTGCCTAGTGAATTGCAGGGCCTGGGACGACTGCCCCCTGTGCCCCAGTGGTTGTTTGTTTGCATCAATCAAGTCAGCAAGTCTGACCACCCGATCCCCTTGCAGTCCATCACCCATCATTTTGGCACACATTTTTTCACAATTCATTTTCACAAAACACACAATCACACGATGGAATTTGGCTATTACCTATTAATGAACATTGACCTAACTAGAAATACCAATTTTGTAATAATTCATGTCCGAAAATTAATATTTTCTTCATTGTTATCATATGACCGTTGACATCGCCCTGCAGTGGGGGGTGAAAACAGATAATTTACATCTCACAACAATGTCATAATGTGTGTTAAACATGCTTTCTGCATGCAAGACCCAAAGTTACCTCAATATCTAGCCCGATGATGAGGGAATTTCTCAAAGATGTGTAAATAAATTAAAATGACTTTTGAAATGAACTTTCATTTAAACTACCTTAGTATATGAAAACATAACATTATACCAGAATCGTTGCCTAAAACCCCTTCCGAGTTGCTGAAACTCAGGACATTACATCAGATGTGCAGTCGTCCGAAAATGTGTGTTCACTGTCTGTGTCATTGCATTAAATCAATCAATAAGGATAGGTGGAATGACATCTC